AACTTTGGCTAACTATAATGGTGGATTTTTTGACCTTAACTAGCTCTGGGAGAAACTGCAGCCCTCGGTTTTCATTCCTGATTAGTGGAAAAGTCTTCCTAGAGGCAATTAATTATTGCAGGAATCAGAAAAGACCATTATTTTTCCCTTAGGACCTTTAGGAATTCGGTGGTAGGAGGAATTACCTGTTATTATTTTCACAAAGCATCTTGGCAAGGGAGCAGAAAAAAAAAATCAGCTCAAGCCAGCTCGGCGTTTCTCTCTTTTTGTCTCCCTGTGATTTAAAGATATCTGGGTTTCTCCCTATTTCTCCTGCATTATTTCTCCATGATCCTACCTTTTGGCATAGGAAAGTGAATGTTCTCTTAAAATTCCTGTCTTCTAAGACTTCAGAACTGAGAGAAAAGCGTCTTTTAAATGGTGATGATGAGCCATGAAATAAAGTGGATAAACCTGGTGTAATGGAGGAAAGATTGACTACTGTGGTGTGAACAGCTTAATGGCAGATGAGGAAATAAAGGAAAAATAAGTTGGAGTTTGGGAAAAAGATGAGATCTCTGTTTTTAATCTGCTTAATTTGATCTTTGTAAGAATCACATCGTCTGTATGTCTATGATGGCTCTGTGACTCTTATACAGGCACTGGTGCTTGAGAGAAGTGTTAAAATAGTAAAATAATTAAGCAACAAAAACCATGTATATGTATGTGAGCTTCCCAAATTATTGATAATGCACCTAATAACCTACCCATTTCCCAAAAATAATATTTAGGTCTGTGTAATGTTGTCTCATATAGAAAGAATGGGAATATGGCTGGCTGAGATGGTCTGCGAGTGTCTCTGCTGAGGTTGTACAGCTTATGCCAACATCTGAAGACAGGCAGAGAAGTGGCAGCCTGATACCCCAGGTGCTTCTGTGTTTCCTTCTCACTAACTTGAATTTCGAATGACAGTCCAAATGGGTAAAATTCAAGCCCTGGTCCCATGATGTTCATAGTGTCTTGATTGAGGTTTTTCTTTAGTAAGTTCTCTCTCATACTGGCCATTTATCTGCCTTGTCTTCTGGCTCCAGGAGACAGTTTCTCCATACATATGCCAAGAATTGAATGCACATAAGCCACCAGTCTGATCAGAGCATTTTCTCTTGCAGCGGTCCAACAGACTGGGAAAAGGGCCAAGAAGATTTAAAAGGGAAAAATGGGAAACAAGGCAAATGAACAAAAAGGCCAAAAAACCTTCCAGGAATTCATGATGCCAAAGCAAGCAACAGTGCTTGTGGCACAACTGACAAATGATGGATAACAAGGCACCCTAAATGGTAACTCCTCAGGAGTTGGTGTTCATTTCTGTGTCACTGGGCAGCAGATGCCCTGTAATCAAATAGATTAGTGGGCTCTGCTCTTCTCACACCCGTTCTACTGAGGAAAAATGGGTGATCTTCCTTGCTGGTAGCCCTGTCCCCTTGTGTTGGCACCACTGGTACCACTGCTGTAAAGACCCAAGGAACAGAACCTGGCTCCCTTGCACACTTGCTCCTTCTTGGGTGCAGTTCAATGATGGAATGTGTCAGCTTGATGGAGCTTGCAAGTTTAGAGGTGCTTTCAGTGTTAAGTTTATTACAACCTGGTGAAATCTGTAGCACTGCTTCCCTCCTTTCCTACATGTTTTCCCGAAGGCAAGTGAGAGGTTTAACCTTCTGATTAAAAGTGTTCTAAAAAATGTGCAATCGTAGAGCAATACTATATATCCATGATTTGAAAAAAACCCAAAGTTTTAGAATAACTATTGCCTTTACGTAGAGGTAACAAATATTAAGTCCTTTAAAGGAAGTACTTCTGTGTTAGGGAGTCAAGGGACCAAGGCACTATCAATAACGTAGGGCTTGCTACTGCAAAAGTCTTGAGATTTCTTGAAATTTGGGTATTCCCAGACACTTTGACTTAAAAGAGAGGAGGTAAAGCTTCAGTCTTGGATCTGGGATTAGGGAACTATCTAATGGCCCTCAAAATTCCTAGCTGAGATAAATTCTGTTTTTTGTTTGTTTGTTTTCTTTTTGTTAAGGAAGGAATTGTGTAAATTACTTTGATTGCAAAGCCACTTAGATGGTTTTGAGTTTAACAAATGTGGCAGATTTGTTCCTTCTGAGACTTAGGAGGATTACTGATTACTTTTCAATTCACCTGAACAACCACCATCTATAATAAGACACTGCCAGATAATATTTATTCCTTTCTTCTGGCTGGAAGAGGCAGTATTTCATCCTGACATAGGCGTATGTTTAGGTTCCATTATCTCCTGCCCTTGGGGCTCAAATCAGTAGTGTGAAAAGTTGGTATTCTCAAGTTTTCAGCTGAAGTACAGTAATTTGAATATTATCTAGTGATTTCAAAGAGGCCTTTTTATACTTGTTACAAAATTGGCAAATGTCTCAGAATTAATGACATCTTTCCATTGATTTCAGTGGTTTTTGGATCAGACCCCCACAGTATATGGATTTTTACTTCTCCCCTGTTATGTCATATAACTATTAGTTCATATATATTGGATAAGGAGGAAACATCCTGGGTTATCCTGAACAGGGATTCATCAGCAGTTTGAATCATACTACTGCTGCTGACTAATTATAAGCCTTCCTTAATTCCCATTAAAGCATGTGGTTTATTTGTTTTGAATCTGGCTGTAATCAGAGAAATGATTTATCACTGTCAGAAATGGATGTTTTTTGCTCCTCCTTACAGGTTTCTGGTGTATACGGAAGCGGGGATTCATTCGAAGCACTTTCCATTTCAAAACTACCTGGGGGAAGGAGAACAGCTAGAGAGGAAGACTCTGGATTAGTGAGGCGCCTAGGGAGGGAGGTTAGCTGCATTATATCTACGGGCACTGCTGAATTCCTGAGCTTTAGCAGAGCTGTTATTCCTATGCAAATCAGTCTTGCAGCATTAGCTCAAATTTCAACATTTTTTTCTGTAATTGATAGAGCAAAATCTTGGGTCGCTAGGGATGCTAGGTTCTGGTCTGAGCAATACTGCTTGTTTCTTTATGTGTACATAAGTTTCTTCTCTTCCTTGTATTTCCCACAGGCCAGTAAGAGAACGGCTTAAAATTAAGGCCATGCTGATGGAGGCAGTGGATGAACTGACAAGATTAACCTAGTTTTGCCATTCCTTTGCTGTATGTTACTAAAAGACATTTCACAAACAGCTTTCACAACCACCCCTGGTAAATACTATGTTCTTCCTGTCTTTCATTGTCGCTGTCACTGAGCATACAGAGTAACTATTTTACTTTTATTTTCTAATTATATTTATGTGTAACATCCAACAGGTATTCACTTACATAAAGACTTTTTCTTTAGTGTAATGTTCTTACTTGCATATAAAGTCAGTGGGAATTTCAGGGTCTTCAAGACTTCTGTCAGCTATGCTATCTCTACAGATTCCTGCATTTTGATTTAAGAGCCTGTCTATTGAAAATAGAGGTAATATTAATAGATTCATAGATTAAAAAGATTCTAAATCTCTTTCAAACTGACTGCATTTGCTCTTGCATGATCCCACCAACTCCCTGGGGAGCAGGATATGGGGGTAAAGCCAGAGGAATCACAGCCCAAATCAGACAAACAAGGCAGCTGAAGGCAACAGATGAAGGAAGTGGGAGGATAAAGGAGGGTGAGGACTAACCAAGGAAACACTTTCTGAATTGTTTTCTGAAACCCAGGGATTTTTAAAGATGGGTGAGAGGGGAGGAAAAGAAGCTTGAGGTCTGGACATCACTGGAAGGAGGCAAAAAGGGAGAAGTGGAAGATGAAGAGGTATCCAGAGAGGTAAGGATGCCTAGGAGAGGCTGAAGCATTTAACAAGCCTCCCTGGAAGCCCCTTTTACACTCTCTTAAGTAGAACAAAAGTACAACAGCAACACTTAGTGACAGGCGAGGGAAAGACAGTTAAGGAGAAGGGATGGAGCAAGAGTAAACAAGTCTCACTGCCATCTTAAGGAAAAATAATTAGGAATTTGGAGGGAAAATTTTGGTCTCTCTCTGTTTCTATCTGCTATCTCAAGAAATTAAACCTCCTAGCAGACAGGGAAGCTTGGAAGCCACTCGGATGATGAGTGGAATAGGAAACTGAAAACTAGTTAAACCTTTCCAGAAAATTATTTTTTTTTCCTTCAGAATGAGTGAGAAAAAGGAATTGATAGGAAAAGATTATAGACCCAGAACCATGCAATCCAAAACTAACTTCTTAGTCATTGTGCTAAACAGTAGAGACAGTGTTAGGCTGTGTTAAGTAATACATATCTCAATATAACTTTTTTTTTTCTTATAATCATAATTACTTCTAATATTAATAGTTTGGATTCTTTTCCTCATTCCCTTTTTTTTAAGAACACAATTATACACACAGCTTATTTTTCTTTTAAGCTGCAGAATACCACCAACATGCTATACTGTCAAATTTATCCAAAAAGTCCCATTACACTCATTGTGAAGGTGTGTTGCTGCCAATATCCAGATCCTGCACTGCAGAATTAAATGAGAAATGGAGAGCCAGAAATACTGAAAGCTTGGTAAAATTATTCCATGTCGGATTTATGAAAATGCTCTCTTATTATCATTGGCTTTTTGCAACTGCATAGTATACAACCTGTGCACAGAGCAAATGCATGACAACAGGGCTGCTAATAGAAGCTTATGGAATAATTCTGGCAAATATGATTCTGAATAATGAAGTTCTGCAGACCAAGCTGCAGAGGACACAAGAGCTCTTCCCTGCCGTCCGGACTGACTTAGGCGTCGTACCTGGAGCTTCCTTTTTGGTAGACAAATTGTGGAACAAATTCCTTCCATAAAATTTTCTACAGAAACCGCTGTCACAACCACCAGAGGGACTCTTTGCACTATGACGCCTTTAAACACACCTTTTCCCCCCTAAAGATTTATTTATAAACAATAGAACACCGTAGCATATTATTTCCTGAGCTTTTATGAAAAACCTCTTACCTGCGAAGCCCGGTGTGCAGGAGCAGACGTAGCCCTCCGCGCTGCGGTGGCGGAACTCGGCCGGCAGCCCCGGGACGCGGCCGTAGCGGTGGGCCCAGGACAGCTCCACGCACTCGCCCCACAAGGCAGGGGCGCTGCTGCACTCGCTTACGTCGTCCTCGCACTGCGGGCCTGTGTATCCTGTGAACAGAAATTACCGGGTGTTTAATTGATGTCAGTTCTTACCAGATCTGAAAATATTATTATACATATTCAAAACATATGTGCTGAGTATTAGGTAAGTTTGGTTTGAAATTCAGGTGCTCAGACACCTCCGGGACGCTCTCTACTTCAAAGCAGGAGTATTTCATCGCAGCACTTTCTGGGCTAAGTGCCTGGATGCTGCTATTCTGCCTGGCATAGATAATCCTGTCTGTGCTATACAGGATTATATGTGCTGAGTATTAGGTAAGTTGACTTTGAAACTCAAGTGCTCAGATACCTCGGGGACACTCTCTACTTCTTCAAAGCAGAGTATTTCATCACAACACTTTCTGGGCTAAGTACCTGGATGCTGCTATTCTGCCTGGCATAGATAATCCTGTCTGTGCTATACAGACTTTGACTTTTATTAGGAAGTAATGTGCAGATCTGTGTGGGTAGTAAGGCACTGTGTTGTATGCTGCAGTATGCTCTCAGTGTGTGCAGTGTTCTCCTTGTTTTTGCAACACCTCTCTATGATAGAGGTGTCTACAGAACATCAATTTGTTGGCATCTGTGAAGTGCTTGAGCTCAAAGTGCCAGAAAACTCCCCTTGGGGAGTTCCATGAAAGTGCTAAGCATTCTGCCTAATCTTTCTATTTCTAATGCATGTATAATACAGTGTCTTATGTCCACCATGGAGAACTTCCCCAAACTCTGATCTACTAGTCTTGCTAGTCTAGAAATGCCTGGAAATGACCAGGGCATTTTCACCTATCCTGCAAGACAGAGGAACTTGCATTTAGGACATGAAGGAAACTGGTTTCCCAGTATCATACCTAGTTTAATCTTATTTATAAATAGCAATCATTATTTTTTCAGGAAAACTTAAGTTTTAGGCTGATTTAAATGTCATTCTAGTGAAGTGTAAAAAAGGGATGGTAACAGCAGTGACATTCATGAATCACATGAGTCGAAGGATTAAGCATCCAACTGGGAGCTGGATTCCAACGTCTAGTTTGGCTCCCATCTTAATTCTACTGCAATTGCTCTGAAGAAGACCTTTTCTTCTACTGTGCGTGGAAATCATTCCTAAGCCAGGAGGAATGAATAACTTAGCCATGCCAGTCTGGCTCATGATGAGAAGTGAAGCCTATCTAATGCCAAGCCTATTAATGCAAGAATATTTTTGAAGTTATGTAATTTTAAGCTCTTATTTCATCAGCAAAACACAAGGATGTATCTTACGAAAAAAGCAAAGAAGGTGTTTATAGAATTTAGGTCTTACCTGGCCAACAGTGACACGTATAACTGTCAATGCTGTCCTCACACGTAGCATTATTGTAGCATGGTTGTGACCAACATAAGGGAATTAAGGTCTCACAGTGTAGGCCTGTAAATCCCGTACTTGTACAGTTGCAACTGTACCTGCAACACAGAATGCCAATGTTTAGTGAGAAGATCTGGATGATTTCCTAAACCTACAAAAGCTTCTTGTTTAGCTTTGGGTAACAGCTTGCACAGTTGAGACCAGACTTGAGAGCACCATCTGGGGTTCTAGGAGAAACTACAGAAATTTAGAATGGTCAATTTCTGAAAGAAATTTGCTTTTGAGAGGTAATTTCTTCTAAGAAAATGATTTATTTTTTTTTTCCAAAACCATTTCTGTCATTTTTGATGCATTTTTTTACATTATTCATAAGAAGAAATTCTGGGAGAAAGACAGAGAGATTTTCTTTGGAAGATTATTTTTTGCTGTTGTTAGGGTTCAATATAGAAATGCCAATTATTTGCATAGCTCCGATAATAACACAAACTAACGTTTTCATGGCAATACAGCAATTGTGGGGTTAGAAGCAAATAATCTAATATACATAGACATGAATATTTACTATCTGCATAATGTTCATTATTTCAATGTCTGCTTTTCCTCAGGTGAGCACATTATTACAAAATACATTAGACCTGGTGATTTTACTGCAATATATCACAACTCTTATGCTTAGGTCGTGATTAAATTAAATACCTAAAGCTATGCCTATCATAAGAAAAGACAGACCTCTGTAAAATGATTGCTTAAAATATGCGTAGTTGGATGATCTTTTCCTAATAATAATCAGAATCAAAAATGAATTAAATTCTTATATGGCTTTCCTTTATGTTAAAATGCTATACTAATTATTGTTTAATATATTGGGGAATTCATGAGGAATTTTCTGAGACTTCTGAGTTTAATATCAGTGTCATAGACTTGGAGTAAATATATGGAGGGAAAGCTATATTGTGGAGTGAATTGTTGAACATAAGAGGACAACAAACAGCCTAACAGGCCAGCAAACATGGACATTTTACTGCATATTTAGGTGTATGAAAGCAAAAACTCCCGGCAGGACAGTTTATTACTAGTATATGGATTATCCTGAAATCAAGATAAGTTAGGTCAGGTGGCATTTATTTTTTAGGATGTAAAGCATAATCAGGAAGATGTGAATTAGTAAAATAGCTTTCATTCTGAAATATATTCTCAACCAGAAGCCTTTATTTATTTTAGTCCATTTTTTCATACATTCCTTCAATGTGTCTTCAGTTTGGTGCTGTCTGGTTTTGTGGAGTTTGTCTGCCTTTTTTTTTTTTTCCTCTCCTCTTTGGCTTTTACTGGAGGAAGTGTGAAGAATATCCATAACTGCTTAAACTGCAGCCCCACTTGTGTGCCCTGTCCTCTGACTTATTTAAATATTGCAGGTTGCTTCGCTCCACCAGGGGTTCTGCAGGGCACCCAGCCTGCAGCCAGACCAGGTGAAAAGTCTATGATCTGTCACTCGGACAATGTTAGACAGTTTCCATTGCAGATGTTTTCATTTCAGGTGCAAGGTGACCTCTTTCTTTCCCTGCAGTCGTGCTTTAGTGACAATGGAAAAGAGTAAATTGCTGTGTGCTGTTCAGAGTCATTCAGTACTTCAGAAAAGGAATTCTGCAAGGTTGGTGTAATATCACGAGCCTGTACAAAAGCCCGTTTCAATAACATAATCTCTGAATTCAAGAGGAGCATGCCTGTTGCTGACGTGGCTTTTCTGACCATATTCTGTGATGTTATCTTCAAAACTGCTTTATAAAAACGGAACACTGAACAATACAGGACAAATCTACTGGTAATTTCAATGCCTGATGAATGTACTCATCGATTTTGGGCTTTATTTCCTATAATGTATGCTTTATGCATATCTATTTTCTGTATTTTAGACTCTGGTGCTCAGCGTGCAAAGTGACTATCAAAGAATAAATGCCAGAGTCCTGCGTGCCTGGACTGATCCAACGTGGAGCTGTTAGCATTAGGTGAAGAAACTTTTCTGTTGCTTTGCAATGTCCCTTTCTGTCTCTTCTATCTATTTGTGTCTTTTTAAAAAAAAAAAATTCTTTTTTTTTTTTTTTTTTTCACTCTCCTTCCTCCTCCCTCTTTTGTTCATGGGTTGCAGGTTGTTTTGAAGAAGGAGCTGCTGTCCCATATGCCTGTAAAATACCTGGCACACTTCCTAATGAGGTCCATTACTATGGTAACTATTATTTCTGTTTTTCTCTGCCTTTCTCTTCTAATGTGTCTGCCTATAAGTGTGGACAGCTGCTGTTGGCAAATTCAGTTTTATGCACTTTCACATCTCCCTTTGAAACTAGCTTCATGGACTTTAGAAAAGGAATTGATCTTTAAGTGATAATTCCTCAGGGCCAGATGAACAACATGTAAATACTCAGGAGCAAAATTACAAGTGTGAAGAAAGTACTTTCCAATTTTTGCCATTTTATATACACAAACATATATATACACGACAAATAAGTCTAACTAATACAATTTTTGCCGGGTTCGTACCCATTGACACCGTCCGTGCACCATCCTCCGTGGAGGCAGGGCTGGCTGGCGCACTCGTCGACGTTGGTTTCGCAGAGCTCGCCAAGGAAGCCGAGCGCACAAGAGCACGTGAAGCGCCCCAAGGAGTCGTGGCAGGTTGCCCCGTTCAGGCAAGGCTGTGATAAACACTCATCTATGTCCAGCTCACAGTTTGTACCTTCAAAATCAACAAAACAGCAAACGCCAAGCTTAGAAAGGTTAGAATTTTGAGATTATTCAAACAATGCTACTGTCATATTTATATATTACAGAAGTGGCTAGTCATTTAATGCTCTTGGCAGAGACCATTTAATTGAATTAAACACAGTTAAAATCCTCAGAGTAAAGATATGAGGTAGTGTCCCAATTAACTGCTTAATGCTTCCTAAGGTTTAGCAATGTGTAAATGAGGCCAGTTGATGCTGTGTTTGCAACAGGTCAGAATCGCGAAGAACCTCTTCAGTTATATTTGATGAGACTAAATCAATTCTAATACTGGTTTGCAGCTATTTGTGATAATTAGCAAGTTACATTTGCATGTCCTTTCCTCTGAATATTTGGTAATTAATACTTTGCAGCTGCTGCTCTGGGTGTTTTGGGGTATTTTAGGTTTTTGTATGCTTGTGCACTTAATATTTTGACTTTAATGGTTATAAACCATTAGTCTTTTAATCTAACTTTTACCTGCTGAGCCAATTTATTTTACCAACTGTAGTATCGGCTACTAAATGGATTAAAAATGAAAATTATAATGAAGAAATTAATTTTAAGATGACTCTACTGCTTCTTATTTGGTTAACCAAAGTTGTAGAAGCTGTTGTAAAGAGTTTTCAGAATTTTCTGTTAGAAAGGAGATCTACAACACTGAGACTAGGGTGGTTGTTTGGAGAGATGAGAATTTTAATATAAGATGATTGGACAGCCTCTCAAAAGGTGAGAACAGACATATTTAGTTTTATGAGTATTATGTTTGCAATTAGATGCTCACCTCTGAGTCTTATGCTTAGTGTTTTTACTAGCTCTGTGCTACTGTGGAATGCATACGTTCAAATTAAGAACACTTTTTCCCATACGGTGAGACTGCTAATATCACTGCTGTTACTTGATCTTTATAAAAAATCTGCATTACAGATCAATATCCAAAAAACCCTCGAAGATGGTATCTCTTTGATTATTTTGTGTTAACCATAAAACCCCACATATTCTAATGAGATCTTCCACCTTCCTAGTTATAGCTATATTGTTTTTTGTATATTCTAGTCATAATTATATTTTTACTGTAATTTTACAGAATGCATTTTTACAGTTTCCTGAAAAAACCTCCTCAATCCTGTGCCTCCGTTTGGAGGCTCATCGATGGAGCTAGCCACTGCTTTCTAAGGGAGGAGGATGCAGGGACTCTTACGGCACTGTGGCAATGTGCATCGCACGCATCCCTCCGCGGTCATTGCCCTGTGAATTCACTGTAATTGTAAACAATGTGTTTGCAGAAGTATGTGTAGTGACCGTAAATCTGCCAGAGCTCGTTAACAGCTTACCCTGAGCACTAAAAATCATGTGACAAAACAAGCCCTGTTCAACTGATCCTCAGCTCAACCAAATTTAAAACTACAGGCCCGAGAACAGCCTGACGATTAACATGAGAACACAGCGTTGTTTTGGTTCATGTCTTTAATCTATCAAGCCCAGGAACCTGCCTTCGGCAATGTTGCCTCAGAAGAAAACTCTTCTCCCTTTATAATGCATCTAGCCAATGTGATATGCCACAGAAACGGGGGGAATTCCTTCCCAGGCTTTATTGAATCTGCTAGCAGCCTTTTTTTTTTTTTTTCATATGTGAAAAAAAGAGATGAAAAGACTAGATTTATATTTGCACCTCAGTCTAACATTCTGTCATAAATATGCTATATGCCAAATATCATATGCCAAAAACCAAAAAGCTCCAACAACCCCTTCCACACATATTATGTAGGACTAAGCCATTAAGAGCAAAGATATCCTGTTTTAGAGCAGGCAGAATATTTCAGCAAATACTGAACTGCAGAAGCATTTTGAATTGAAAGACTGGGAACGTGGATGGTGTAATATTTATAATGTCAGTGGTTCCCTAGGAGAACTAGGATTATTTCTTATATGACTCGCTTTTTTAAAAAGTTCTACAGTTTGCTTCTTTGTACGGCCCCAGTTCATTAAAGGTAAATGCAAGAATGAGAGAGAGACATTGACATTATCAAATCTAGTTACCTACAGGTATACACGAAGGTAAGTCACCTTCTGGTCAAAGATATGAGGGGTTTGCAGACCCTGTGTGCTTCTAGGTGGACCTGCACATTCTTAGCACTGATGGAAATCAGTACGTCAGGCTGCCCCTTCCACTTCTACACATCTGTGGTATTAAGCTCAAGAATGACTGGAAAAGAGAATGTACTGATACGATACGATCTGTATATATAAACCTTAAGTGCCACCGGCTGGATGGAGTGTGTCAGCTATTTTTTAGTCACCAGGTTTAAAATGGCAGGTAGATAGTTCATATCTCTCCCTGCATCATAAATAAATAGAAGAATTTTGAATAACTAGAAATCTCAAATTAGAGGGAGATGGTTAATTTCTTAGAGCGAGAGTTTGGCCTGCAATATCCTGACATAACAGAAGGAAAACCATGGAGTTAAATCCCATCAAAAGTTCAGTGCCCAGAAGTTAGGAACCACAATATTTATACTTCAGAGTGCATGACATCAGCTGTTTATTGTGAAGACGCTGTCAAAAGTGGCCACTAGCGCTGGTCTCCTCCAGCGTAAGTTTGTGGCTAGAAGTGTCAACCCCAAGCTGGTAACCTGGGCTGAATTCCGTCATCGTGTTGGTTAGGATGGGCTTGGGGAATATTGGTTCCTTTGAGGCTGAGGAGGGAAACGGAGGCTCTCCACTTTGGGAGACAGTGAAGCTGAGCACAAAGCAAGGCATGAGAACAGTATTTTTTTTGTGCTGGTAATTTGAGAACTGAGTGCCTAAATGTCTGCTGAAATTTTAATTTGACTGCCCAGGATGCATCTACTCCTAAATATTTTCCTGGCATATATATTACTGCTGACAGTACTGCACGAGAACTAAAAGGTAGGTTTCATTTCATCAGGTAATACTGTGCAGAATTGTTCTCAGTTACAGTGTAGTAAAAGGTGGTACTTGAATATTCCAATTTCATCAGTCACTGAAACAGCTTTTCCTATTTAAATGATGTGATGATGCCTCTAAAAGTGGCTTTTTGAACTGCCATGTACCCCTGATAGTATATACTAAAGTGTTCCCTGGCAATGGGGGACTGGTTTTGGCTGTGCTGAGCAAGGGAATTACTGTGACTAGCTGTGACCCCACTCTGTTGGGGCGAATTATAAATTAAGTGTAATTAGCACAGTGGAAAAATACTGTGTTTAATCAAGGTATTCCGACCAAACTTTGACAAACCAACTGAGTTTCATTATTCAGCAGCTGCGTGACACATGTCTTGTAAATAATTTCACACGTGCAGGGCATTATCATAGTAAGCTGCAGATTTCATGCTAAATTCTCTAGTCTTTGGCTCTCGTTGCAATCTAACCTCTTCCATTTGTCTAAGAATTATGTGTGACATTTCTCGGCTATTTTAAGCAGTGCAGCATTCCAGTCGTACAAAACAGCAGTCATAGTCCATGAAACAAGTAGCAACCAAAGGCTGTAACTCAAGCATTTGGTTAACATTTCTGCTGTAAATTTACTGTACGCTCTCTACCCACGTATCAGAAACCAGAACCTTTTTAACATCTTAGGGAAATGAAATGAGGCTGGATGACTTCCCACAGTAACTCATGGTGTCAGGCCAGGATAATAAGGGTTGGCAAGATCCCCTGATAGAGTAAACGTGGATTTTTATTATCAGCGGGGACACTTTGGGGTTTTCATTTGGTAATCCCTCTGGCCTGTGCATTTAACACAACTCACCGCAAGGTGCAGAAAATAACAGGTTTAAAAAAAAAAAAAAAAGGGCTTCTGATAAATCATTTGGTTAAGTGGCCTTTAAAAGCTGGTATTTTACTGCTGAAGGAGCAGTCAGCTGTTCCTTTATAGAATTATTATTAGCTTCTTTGCTGCTTGAAGCTATGTCTGAACTGTATGTCAAAAACACTGAAATCTTTTCTGCTTTATATTTTATAACTCATTTTTTTCCCTCAGCTCTCATTTCTTAACTCTGTTTTTCCGTGGTGCAGAGCACTTGGAGAGACACTGCTCGATTTTGGTGCAGCCAAAGAGCACCAGCCTGGAAAACAGCAGAATTTTATGATGAAAGTGGAATAACTCCAGCAGAGCGAGCTTCCTCCAACAGTTTGTGTCAATTTAAGTCTTCATTTCTATTTGTTTGGGCTATATTATTTCATCTTCTTTGTCTCTAAGGTGCAAATCCTCCCTTTCAAACTGATTTCCTAGGCTATAGATTCATTCCTGGGCTCACCAACAGCGCAGGTTTAACAAATACTGTTTCCTGACTCCAACAGGAGGTTTGAGCTGAGTCTGATCACTTCAGAGCAGCCACACTGACTGTCCGTAGGTTTTTCCTTCCTTCTTCTTTGCCCTCTCTTAGCTGCATAGTCTTCCCATCACTTGCCCTAGGCTGAGACACCCACTGGCAGCCACAGGATGACAAGGAAAGCCACTAAATTCCCTTAAGTGACAATCCCTTAGTCAGGAGGGATATGAGCTGAGCATCAGCATCCAGGTGAATGCTGTGTGTGCAACACTGGAAAAATGCTTTTTACCTCTGATTTCCCCTCCTTCATGAGGCTTTTGGGGATGGGGTTTTAAACCACATATTTCTTAGTCATTTGCTTCAGTTGAAGCAGTAGGTGTGTTTTCCCAGTTGTTGGTTTTTTTTTTCTCTCTTTTTTTTTTTTAACTTGATGGCAATCTGTCACAAACATTTTTTATCTTTTTTATCTTTTTAATGATTCAGAGCTTTGAAATTTGAGGGGAACTGTCTCCTAGAAGTGTTATAGGCTTTGCAGTCAAGGAAGTAAGCAAAAAATAAATGCTCATGTCTTAAAAATGGGACCATACAAAATGGAATTATCCTGAAATAGGCAGTTTGGAAAATGGTTAATACTCTTCATTTAATGTATATAATATTTCAGTTTCAAACGAATACTCCGTTCCTGGGAAGGGCGGAGGAAAGGACTCATGATCAGTGAAGAGGATAAATTTATGCAGGTTAAGCAGTGATTTCAGAGTACGTGTGGTCACTGTGCATGTGGGGATATGCACAGTTTTGCAGGTGTAATGGCAGACTTCTCACTTCCCTGTTTCTGTTTGGAAAGCTAAAAGCTTGGCTGTAATCTGTTTTTTCTCCATCAGCAGGATACACTTTTTTTCCCCAGTCCTTGATGTTTTGCCCTATTCTGGTCTTGAAAAATCTTTCTTTCTAGGCTTTCATACCACACTTACTGTTTTTGTATCTGAGTTCATAGTTCCCACTATAACAGGACTTCTAACTCAGCTGAGAAGTTCACTATACGGCACTATAAAAGTCCTCAGCTTTGAACCAAAAGCTTGAACAATGAGAAACGGGGTGTATAGGTGCTGTGCAGAGGAGGAAGAGGTGCTTTTTTTGAATGCCTGGAACCCACTGAAATATTGCTCCTTCTTTTT